CACTGCAAAGTCAGTAGCCCAAGCTTTCATTGATGCATGGATATTGCAGTTCGGTGTACCACTATACGTTGTCACTGATCGTGGTCGCCAATTTGAAAGCAAATTATTCCAAGAATTAACAAAATAGTAGGACTCTATAGATTAAGAACAACGGCATATCATCCACAAAGTAATGGGTTGATAGAAAGAGCACATCGCACATTAAAAACAGCAATAATAGCTCAAATGGAATCTTGGCTACCCGTCATACCCATTGTACTTTTAGGAATTCTTAGTACTCCAAATGAATCTAATTTTGCACCATTCACGGCAGTTACTGGAGCACCAATACTGATCCCTTACCAATTAGCTGACAGTGCAAATATTAAAGACATTGCCTCTATGCAGAAAGATTATATAAAAGAATTATGTAAATTTATGTCACAATTAGACATGTTAAATGATGACAGAAAACATCATATTACATGAACAAATACTTTCACTCCAAATTCTTTACCTACTTGCGATAAAGTATAGCTTCGAGTAGATCAAGTACGAAAACCTTTGGAAGCAACTTATACAGGCCCTTACAAAGTTTTACAACATTCTCCAAAGCATTACTTAATAGATTTAAATAATGACGTACATACACAAGTATCAATCAACAGACTAAAACCGTATATAGTGCCATTTGTACAAAAATGTAAAAATAGTGCCAAATTACATGCAAAATCAAATAAATACACACAGTGAGAAAAATGTTATTACCAGTACATCTGATAAAAATAGTACAACCAGTAATACCAAATTGTACACATCTAAAGCAGGTAGACGTATCACATGGAAAAAAACAGAAAGTGTACTATTATTTTAAGTAAAAAAAAAAAAAGTTACCAATTATAGTAGTAGGATTGAATCATATCAAAACGTTATTCTTTCCATGTCTGAAGGGAGACTGTGTAGTAGGGTTATGTAGTAATAACACCATACGAAAATATACACTTTCCTCTTTACTAAGTGAATGACAAAGAAAACTCTCTCTCCATCTCTTCTATATATATTTCCTTTCTATTGTTCCTATCCTCGGTAACGGACATGAACCCGGACTTAGTTTATGTGGGTCAGTGAATGTCATAAAAAAATCAACCCATGACAACACGTCCTGCCAAAAATCAAACAGGGAAACTCAGATGTGTCAGCCCCAATAAAAAGAAGAAAACCACGTATAAGACTAGACGCCGCAGTGGAGAGGAATTTGATTCAAGGTAGCAGTTCAAGACGCAAGGCTTGGTGATTCATTGGCTGTGAGTTTGACCTGATGTACAACTCCATAAGAGAAAGAAGAAAGGATGAATGCAACAAATTAATTTCTGCCAACCAGAGGGAACACAACAACCCTGTATGAACTCTCAAATCACAAAAAAGAACTATGACAATAGTCAACCATTTTAAACCCTGTATCCTCTTGTCCTCATCTTTGTCACCATATTTATTACAATGTTTCATCCGTTGTACGCTCCGATCTTCTTCAGGTGGTTGGAATGTCAAACTGAACCCTTTATTTCGCTCACTGGGGTAGACTGTTCTAGTTCCATGTGCCATGTTTAATGGATGTCAGTTATCTCCTGTTAATTTCTCTCTGAAAGTTCTCCACTGCCTTAACTGGGTATTGAACTCACACTCTTTGGGTCGTGTCACTGACGCCTTTATCCACTGTACCATGTGTCCTTGAGGAGCGTACAATGGCCGAAACGTTGTAATAAATATGGCGACAAAGATGAGGACAATAGTCCAAATAATGTACATAATACCTCATCTCAGAAATATAGACATAACTTTGTTCAGATACAATTTTATTTGACAAAATAATTATTAGAATCAACAAAATATAGCAAACAATCCAGCAGTGAATTTTTGTTCCATCATGATAAAAAGTAGGAAAGGCATTTTGGCATTAATTAAATAGACTGATCTACTAATTAAAAAAAATAGATAAAAATTAACTGGTGAATTATTTTTGTAGATTAGCCATTTTTAGTCATTCAAGCTACGACATTTGTCAGAATCAAATTAATTTTTAATGATTTAGAAGTGGGGGGGGTCTTTTTACAAAATTAATGGTGTCAAATCAATCTGTTTTTTACAGGATTATCTACACTTATTTTTTTTATTTACAAATATTGTACCTTGAAAATGTGCTTCTGTCATTGATGTCCTCATATTTTTTGTGTTAATTTATGTCAATATTTGTTCTTTAATTAAAAATGTGTCACCACTTCAAAAATATATACATTTATTCTTTAATGAAAAAAAAAATCTTGTAAAAAAAAAAAAAAAAAAAATGTAATAAAGAAATATATTTTCTATTTCTAAACAATTGCTTGTTTAGAATATTTTCTTAAACACACAAAATGTTTGTCTATATTTCTGAGATAATTGCTGTACAGTGTTTAGTTGGACTATTGTTCATCTTTGTCGCCACACAAAATTTTTGTCTCCGGCCTTCTTCAGGTGGTTGGAATTTCAGACTGAACCCTTTATTTGATCACTGGGGTAGACTGTTCTAATTCCCGTGCCATGTTTGATGGATGTCAGTTATCAGTTATCTCCTGCTAATTTTCCCTCTGAAAGTTCTCCACTGCCTTAACCACTGTCACTGGATCTAACCAACGCCTTTATCCACTGTGCCATGTGTCGCTTGGGACATCTGGGTATGAACTTCTGAGTATTATAAACCTAATGGCATCATTTTTACCAGTGCTCATATTGCAATTTTGCTGTTATCATTGCATGTCTTTACCAGAGTTCATTTACAACTTTGTTATCATTGCTTTTCTCTGGCACTCCTTATTACTGGTTCCCATATTGTATTTATTTCTATGCTTAGGATTTTTGTGGCCTAGCAGGAGAAAGGAGATCACCGCCCCTGTGGGATCATGTTGAGATCATAGACAGGGAACACCATTGGAAAATTCGTAAACTTAAGGAATCAGCACATATGCTAGGCCACAAAATATCTCCTGAGCCGACCAAGCATAGAAATAAATACAATATGGGAACCAGTAATAAGGAGTGCCAGAGAAAAGCAATGATAACAAAGTTGCAATATGAACTCTGGTAAAGACATGCAATGATAACAGCAAAAATTGCAATATGAGCACTGGTAAAAATGATGCTGAAATCATTAGGTTTATAATACTCAGAAGTTCATACCCAGATGTCCTCAAGGACACATGGCACAGTGGATAAAGGCGTTGGTTAGATCCAGTGACAGTGGTTAAGGCAGTGGAGAACTTTCAGAGGGAAAATTAGCAGGAGATAACTGATAACTGACATCCATCAAACATGGCACGTGGAATTAGAACAGTCTACCCCAGTGATCGAAATAAAGGGTTCAGTTCAAATTCCAACCACCTGAAGAAGGCCGGAGCGCATAACGGCCAAACGTTGTGAGAAATATGGCGACAAAGATGAGGACAATAGTCCGACTAATGTAAATACTGCACACAAAATGTATATATCCATTTGTTTTTATTTAAAAGTAATCTTTTTGTAAAATTAAAAAAAATTCACATATATCAATGATGTATACAGTTTCAAACTTGACATTTGTAAACTAATAGCTAATTTGGATAATTCTATAAAAGTCAGGGATCAATTTTGCACTGTATTGGTATTATGAACATGACACTTCGTAAATTAATAAAATATCAATATTTTCAATTCTGACAACTTAAAGAAAGTTTAAATAAGGCTAATCTGCAAAAAAAAAATTTTTTTTTTTTTTTTTTTTTTTTCCTGTTTTTTATGAGTGGACCAGACTATTTAAGTATTGGTGTAAACCTGATGTTGTTTCTATGCATCTAAAGTCCAGAAAAATGATTTGATTAATAGAAATAATGAGGCAAAACCCTTTTCTCCATCATTTGCCAGGGAGTATAATACCTTTTATTGTCCTTTTTGTATCCACCCTTGCTGACCCTTGTCTAATTAATGCATCAGTTCTAAATCAATAACAATCTGCTGTCTTTTACAGCATCACAAAACTATGAGAAGGAAATTTTAGGGTGGGGATGAGTGAGGATCAAGTTTGTTGACCCAAAGAAACTAATGTTTCTGATTGTCATAGAGAAACCCTTTTTCTTTTTTTTCCATCAACTGTCTACACACAGCCAAGAAAGGAATGAAATTTTGAAACTAATAAGCAAATAGCACCAAATCATGGAGGTGCCCACTTCTGTATTTTTCTTCATTTTGTGTGCACCCAGCCCCCCCCCCCAATTATGTCCCCGATATTAAAGTGCTTGTTTCTATATGAGTGTCCATAGCTGTTCATTATTAAATGACCATGAACAACATCATCTTGGCAATCCAGATCACTAGCAAGGAATTTTTGGAACCAACAACACATAGTCTGTTCTGAAACTGATTCCAACTCCTGAACAATTTTGATGTTATGGGTAGATTTAGAGGATTTAGTAGATTTAAAGAAAAAAAAATACTTTTATTCACTTTTGCTTCAACATCCCATATGAAAATAAAATATAAAAGTAATAAAAAATTTCAAATGGTACCTGAAAGATGAGATGTTGAGCTTCAAAATGGCATATAAATATTATACACAAAGAGAAGAGAATGATACAAATAAATAAATAAAAAATACAACAAAAAAACCTGCTATTTATTTTGTTCAAATATAATTATTATAATCTAATTTAAGCGTAAAGATTTTCTCTTTACATACATCAAATTATTACCTTTGCTAATGATGTTAGATATAGGGTATGTATTCACCTATGTTTATCTATCTAGTGAATAATTCTTACAAGCTATTTCACAACTTAATGAGAAGAGATCTATAACTTAATGTACAGTTTTTCATAACAGAATAGTAACATACACTCTGAGTGCTTTCTTGTTGAATAAAACATTTTATTTACTTACTATTACAGTATTTATTTACTTTTGTTATATATGTGTATCTATAATATGTGTGTACTAATTTATTTTTATTTTTCTAGGCAAAGGGAATGAGGATAAACGCGGTCAACCAATAAGTGAGGGAGTTGCTGAGAAGAATTGGCTTTACTTGAATGGCAAACCGGTGATTTGCAATCGTCCTATGGAGGTGGCTGCCATGGTTTCAGCAATTAATCCGTCCATTAACTCAACCATGGACAGTTCAGAGATGGCATCTTTGCAGCAGGTAAAAGTTTATTTTTAATTTGATTTTATTCTCAGTTTCTAATATAAAAATGTATGCAGATCGAAATGTATAATTGATTTTTTTTTTTGATTTTTTTTTTTAAATTGGAATTTTTCACTTTCCTGCTTAATTATAAATTCAAATTAAAAGTTCTTTATCAGTTTATTTTATATTTCTCATTGCTCACTGTATAAATTATTGTACTTTCTGCTGTGTTGAGTCTAAAAAGAAATCTTGCCAAAGTTTAACATGCAAAAAAACAGTGTATCAAAAAGATATTTTTTTTCTCCTGGTACCTCCATTGCTGTATACTTCCTTGGCAATTTGTATTGTTTTAAAAAGCTGTTTTTAGAATTATAATAAAACTCAAACATATGAAACTGGGTTTTTTTTTATGCATTCTCTTTTTCTCGAGAATTAACAGCAAAAGAATTAAACACTATTTATTTTATTAGATTGTTTATTTACAAAAATAATTTTACACTTACAAGTTTTTGAAGGGACACATCATCTTTCCTTGAATTCAGAACACCATAAATTATACTAACATTGATTTAACTGACTAACTAATGAAAATCAAATAACACAAAAGTAATAATACCAGAATGTCTTTCTTCTTTTTCTCCATATCTCATTCTCTGATGAAGCTTTAATAAAAGTGAAACATGTCAAATTGATAAATGTTTCCTATTTGTTCTTTATCTTATCATTTATAGGTTCATAAAAATATGTTAACCAACTAATATTCAATATTTATTATTTGCCATAATAAAGAAATAACTATGAAAACATTTTTTTTATTCAGAAATTTATAAAAATGTCTGAACAAGAAAATTTAAATAAACACATAACGACATGTAAATGTAATTATAAATTTTGGAAAAAATGTATTTTCTAGGCATTTCTTTCATTTTTTTCACATCACATAAATTCACTAAAATAGTTTACAAACATCTGGATCTAAACTCTTTTATTTTCCTCTTGAGAAGTGGCAACAGAAATGCTAAACACTATTAAAATATTTAATTTCAAGAATAGTGTTTAATGCTTTTGTTGTCACCCTTTGAGAAAAAACACAATGCATAAATCCAGTTTTTGTTTGGGTTTTATTAAAATTCTAAATATAGATTTTTTAAAAATAAAAATTGCAGTAATAAAAGAAAAATTGTCTTTTGACACTGTTTTTTTGTGGGTAACAAATGTTAAACTTTGCCAAAAATCTCTTTGTGTGACAATAAAATGTATTCTATGACTAATTCATTGAATGTCTGTTGCTCTCTCTTGACTTGAAACTTCACGGCTCTGACCCAAAATAAAACCAATTAACGCTGATGCTTTTGGTAAAGAATAATTTTAGACTACAGAATTTCTTAGTTGACTTTGCTCTTTACTCAATAGACTTTGGATATGTGTGTTGCATGAAAAGTAGAATCGGTAATTCAAATTCTGGTTTAGTCTTTTGCATTCACTATCCTGCCAGTGCTCTTGTGAAATGAATCCATTTCTTCTACCCCAAACTATGGGTTAAATAAGCAGGATAAATATGCTTCTTTAGACATAGATAACAAGTTTATGAGAAAGGTAACTGTGGATTCAAAACTGGAGGTGGCAATAGAAAACCACTCCTATCTTTTTCAAGAAGCCATGGCAGTTCACAGATAATAGAGAAAAGGAATCTGTAGTGAAAGTAATGGGAAACCACTCCACTATATTTCCCAAGAAATCATCGTAATTCACAGACTAGAATAGAGAAAAAGGAGTTGATAAAGAACCATGATCATTGATGTGTTGAAGAGACATGATATTAAAAAAATTGACTTTACTTATTTTTAAAGTAAAATTATTTCTCCTATAAAAATGTACAAAATTCAAGTAAGTTAATTTAGTAATTAATTTTATAAATTTCCCATATTAACTGCATTTTGAAAAACTAATTTAGTGTCAATCATAATGAACTTATCTGGTAATATTGCCATTTTTCTTTCATTAACATTGATGATGTGATTATGATATTCTTCAATATGTTTCTTTCAATTTCACAAAAAAATTAGTAGAGGAATTAAGTATATGCAAATAAGATGGAGGCTTTCTTTTTTCTATTTTTCAGGAATTTTTTTATTGAAACAACTGAAAGTCACATGAGAAATGTTTTTATGGCTTTCAATTTGAATAAGTTCAGAAACATTGATGACAAATTATGTTAAGATCAGCTGCTTTCCTCAAATGTTGATTCAAAATTGATAAAGATATGTTCTACTAAATGAATGTTAATTCCAAATGTAATACTTATTTTCATCCATGTAAAATCTTTAGATATTCTTTGTTATCCAAATTCCATATTATTGTCAAAATGTCTTTGTATATTTATTTCAATTTCGTAATTGAGCAGTAATGTTGTTGCCAGCATGCTTACAATGATCAGTGTTCAAGCCCATGTAAAAGCCAGAATGATATTTTACAAGGCAAGCAAAAGTTAACATTTTGAAATATGAGTACAATGCACATAATTCAATTCAGTGCACTAATTGAGTTCAGTGAGAATTTTTTAATTGATTTATGTTTAATTTAAAATCTTTGCTATTTTATTTATAAATTTAACATATTCTTGAAAATATTTATTATAGAACTTCTGTTATGTATAATTTGGTCAAATACTTTCACAAGTCATTGCTAACTTGTTTGTACTTGCTGCTCTATTTATCTGAACTTCTGCTCATGATGGCTTAGCCCAATAATTACATTATTAGAACTTTCTATAGGTCAATATTAAGTGTATTAGAATCATAATATTTATCAGCATAGAAATTGGTAAAACTTGTTCAAATCTTAGCTAATTAAGTATGTGGGCATTTGTTTTACACTAATGCTCTTGAAAAAGGCATATTTATTTATTTTTCCTCAATGGGAGTAGGTAGGTTTGCCTATTGTCTACTTTACAGTCCTCTCTAGTCTTTTGAACAGGAGTAGAGGTTTATCCTTTGTCTCTAATTTAGGATTGGGTTTCCAGTTCCTTCTAAGGACTACTTCAACTCTATATTTCTAATGTCCCTGCCTAAAACTTTAAAATTTTATTTACTACTAGCAGTAGAGCCCGGCGTTGCCCAGGGATGTAACAGTAAGAGATAGATCAAATATCGACCATCATAAAGACTGAAAAATAAAATTGACAAAGATTATTGTTTAAGGTTGATGGACACGCATGTCTTAATTAATTTTTTTTTTTTTTTTTACGAATTGGTCAAACCCAAACTCGAACAAAAACATTGTTTTCAATCATTATGAGTCTATCGATTGAATAGAATTTTATTATAAACAATTGCCTTGTAAATGGAATTTTTAAAGCATTCTGAATGTAAAAATAAAGAAAAAAGCGTGCAAGACAATAAGAAACACTACCTGCCAAAACAAAAGTGAAGTTATGTTGAAATCGGTTGAAAAATGTAGAAAATCCGATCCCATATATAAATGAACACACACACACACACACACACACAGATACAAACAACCTGGGTTTTATAAGTATAACTTGATATGAGTTGTCCCCCTTTCATTCTGGCGACAGAATCGTGTTTTATCATGTTTTCAAATTGATTTTGTGCAAAAACAATTGTGTTTTTCTAATTTTTGGCACTGTCACAACCACCACAAGGTAATTTTACGCAGTCCTGTGAAGTTCTGTTGAAATCGGTTGAAAAATGTAGGAAATCCAATCCAATATATAAACGTACAGACACACACACACACACACACACACACACACAATCTGCGTTTTATAATAAGTAAGATTTATTTTTCCTCAGTAAGATTAGTTAGGTTTGCCTATCATTCAGTTCCCACACCTCCCTAGTCTTTTGAACAGGAGTAAAGGTTTATCCCTTGTTTCTTGTTTAGGATTGGATTTCTAGTTCTTTCTAAAAATTTGTTCATTTTCTTTCATTTTTAGTATCCCTTGCACCTTAATGGCATTATTGACTTGCTTGGGGTGAATTGATTAAAGAAAATCTTCCACCCTTCCAGAAGGTTGGGTTAAGGAATATTATCTGCTGCTGATGACATATAATCCGATACAATGATGCCCTATAGTACGTAGAGAGTATAGCAAGGAAAAAATGTTTGTGATTAGCATTTGCTTATTGCAGTGGGCAGTGGAAATAGCCGAAAAATATTTGGTAGCACACCCTCAACCCCAGCTGCTCATGAAAATGACTTAGTTATACTTGAGCTGAGCACAAGACAGTTCTTCAGTTTGCTTGTGGACATTCCTGGTATGATTCATAGCACAATTCACATTAGTTTGAATTTCATGTTCTGAACTGCCACATTTTATTGTGATTGTTTGGTGGCCGTTCATGTGTTGCAAACCTGCACTAATTTTTCATTTTTGCTAGAGAGAATAATCTCCATCATCCTAACAGATTTTTTTTTGAAAGAATTATGATCTGCTAGGTCTTGGAATCATTTTTTTAATCTCACAAGCTGTTGTTAATGATTTTGTTTGTTACTGAATTTTCTCATAATTTTGCAATTTTTGGTTATCACTTAATACATTTTTTTTTTTTTTTTTTTTTTCTAATCATTTCACCCCAAGTAAGGTATAAAAAAAAAAAAAAAAGCCACTAAGATGCAAGGGTTACTGAGCATGGAAGAATATAAAAAAGAAAAAACATTGTTAAGGAGCAAGAACAATAAAAGAACAGGAATTAAGAATGTTGCATTTAAATTTTTGAAGATGTAAAGTTGACTGGAAAGCAGGAAAATGGAAGAAAGTTCCAAAAGTGAAAAGAAGAAACTGTTAGCAAAATTGTTTGGATGCTACACTTGAATAATGTCAAAAATTTGAATGTTGGAAACAGAATTAATTTGTGGCTTTTATGATTGTTTTCAGCCAAAACAATTGCATTCTTAGATGTTTTTTTTTTAATCATTTCACCCCCAAGCAAGGCAATAAAGCCACTAATATGTTAAGAGTTACCGAGTGTGAGATAATATGAGACAAAGAAAAACGTTATTAAAGAGAATAAATGGTTAGCATAGAACTTAGTTACATCTAGCCATTTCAAATGTAAAATGGTGAAATCTTGCAACCAATCTATTACTGTGCTTAAATTCAGAGTGTCTAGGTACCATTGAGGAAAGTTCATCAGAAAAATTACCATGAAAGTATTTATAGAAAAGGCACAAGGAAGCTACATTATGGCAGTATAAAAGTGAAGCTGAAATGTCAGGACCAACAACATTACAGATTCTTCTTTGTATTTTATCAAGAATCTCTAAATATATAGAATTACTTACAATAAATTATTTAATTTTAATGTTTGTATCTTGTTTCTTTTTTTCCTTACTGAATTAAAAATCCTACAAAACTTTTTTTTTTTCTAATTTCTTTAGGAACTTCTCTGGTTATTGCATGATATGGGGTATCTGTCAAAGTAAGTATACAGATTTTGTTTAATCTTGAGTATAAATGACAATAGCGAGTTTGGGCTTTACTAAATACAATATAATTAACATTGTTCCCATCAGTCACTGGTGGTAAATTTAATCCTTATGTTGTATTAAAAAAACAAATAGGCTTACTGTGTGTTTCTCAATCTGTGAGCATATTTGCCAGAATAATATCTAAAAAGAGCAAAATGATTTCTTAGATATTGTTAAAAGAGATACATACAAAAGCATTGGCTCCAGTTCTAATTTATGGGGAGATTGTTTCAACTACAGGTGTAAGAGGAGAGATTGTTTCAACTACAGGTGTAAGAGGAGAGATTGTTTCAACTACAGGTGTAAGAGGAGAGATTGTTTCAACTACAGGTGTAAGAGGAGAGATTGTTTCAACTACAGGTGTAAGAGGAGAGATTGTTTCAACTACAGGTGTAAGAGGGAGAGATTGTTTCAACTACAGGTGTAAGAGGAGAGATTGTTTCAACTACAGGTGTAAGAGGAGAGATTGTTTCAACTACAGGTGTAAGAGGAGAGATTGTTTCAACTACAGGTGTAAGAGGAGAGATTGTTTCAACTACAGGTGTAAGAGGAGAGATTGTTTCAACTACAGGTGTAAGAGGAGATTGTTTCAACTACAGGTGTAAGAGGAGAGATTGTTTCAACTACAGGTGTAAGAGGAGAGATTGTTTCAACTACAGGTGTAAGAGGAGAGATTGTTTCAACTACAGGTGTAAGAGGAGAGATTGTTTCAACTACAGGTGTAAGAGGAGAGATTGTTTCAACTACAGGTGTAAGAGGAGAGATTGTTTCAACTACAGGTGTATGGAGAGGGATTATTTTTATAGGTTTCAAGAGAGATTGTTTTTATTACAATTGTATGGGGGAGAGATTATTTTTACTACAGGTGTCAGGGGAAGTATGTTTACTGTAGGTGTATAGGGATTGATCTTTTTATTACAGGTGTATGATAGGTAGACAGTTTTTACTGCAAGTGCATGGGGAGAGATTTCTTTTCTTTTTTTTTTTTATAGATGTATGGGGATAGAATGTTTTTACTACATGTGTCAAGAGAGATATTTTTCACTAGACATGTTTGGGGAGTTATTGTTTTTCCTGCAGGTTTCAGGAAATATTGTTTTTAGTATATGTCTTCAGAGAAAGATTTATTTTACTACAGGTGTCAGGGGAGGTATTGTTTTACTACAGGTGTATGGGGTGAGACTGTTTTTACTACAGGTGTATGGGGTGAGACTGTGGAAAGAGATTGCTTTTAGAGAGATTTATGGAGAGAGACTGCTTTTACTATATGTGTATGGGGCAAAGATTGTTTTTATTGCTGGTGTATGGGGAGATACTGATTTTTTTTTTCTTCAGGTGTATGGGGAGAGATACTTTTTACTGCAGGTGTATGGGGAGAGATCCTTTTCACTACATGTGTAAGGAAAGAGATTCTTTTTATTACTGGTGTCTGGAGAGGAATTTTTTACTACAGGTGTCAGGGGAAAGATTGTTTTTTGAAAATTTTAGAAAACCCTGTTGTACTGTTAACACAAATATAATATATGCCTTTAGTTACTTTTAAGATGAGATGTTTTCAGAATTACAAATATTTCACCTAGTTTTCTTTAGTCTATTTTTTATTATTAAAAATGAAACACCGTCAAAAGAAAACAAATAAATAAAAGAAAAATTGTCAAAGTATTTCTAAAAATGCTTTTTATAAGAAATAGGTTCCATACTACTACTAGGTTATGACCAACACAACAGTAGAATCGGATGGGGGAAAAAATAGTAGCAAAAATTATATTGATTCTATTAAGTATTTTGATGACTATAAAACTACTGAGCTTTCACAGTTAGGCAAATTAATATTTCTTTTACTATCTAGTCAAGTATACATCATGAAATACTAACAGTGAACATTTTATAAAGAACTATAAATGAAACCCTAATTATAAAAACTGTAATTGAATTGATTATGGAATCTTGTTCATGAAAAATAACTGATATGAGAGTGTGCTGAAATGTTCATGACCTAACCGATGTATGTACCGCCACTTAAATCTTACATTTGATCAAATTTTGGGAAGTGCTTTGCACTCCTCCCAAGTCTGTTGAACAGGAGTAGAGGTTTATCCCTCGTTTCATGTTTAGGATCGAGTTTCCCATTTCTTTTAAATTTTTCTCATTCCATTTCTCTCCCAGTAACCCCCTTGCATCTTATTGGCATTATTGCGTTGTTTCAGATGAACTGATTAAAAAGTTGGTCAAGCCAATAGCATTTTAGGGATTTGAGTCTGAGTATTAAATTATTTTATTCTGAATGTCCAGCAATTCATTTTAATGGGTAAATAATTTTTATTTTAAGAAAACTAAAAATGGTTTGACTTGAAAGTAATAAAAACAAGTCATAATACAAATCTTTAAAAACACTCTCAGCTAGAAATCAGCTTATGAGCATAGAAATGTTATTAACTCATTGTACCAAGCAATAGCTGAATATAAATATCTACCCATTAAGCATATATGTGTTGTATTATGTTCACTCATTGAGATTCATCACAACTTGCTCCTTAATTATCACTGACACTGATCTTCTGCATTATCTCTGTTAAAGTCATGACACAACAGTATGTATTAGAAATAGATTTTATTTAATATTCATAGATTTTACTATGAAAATCTAAGAAATAATGAAATCAATTTGTAATATTTGGCTATAAAATTTATCCTTGAAAAGATATATTGATTAAAAAAAAATTTCCGCAGATGATTTCTGTGTAAAAATGATAATGTCTGCTTTCTTACAATTTTCTTTTTAAGCAGAAAGACAGAGAGAGGGCAGGGAACACAGCATGCTTCTTCCTCCTGATATATAGACCCAAAAAACAAAATAGGGGTTAGTTTATATTTAGTGTTGGCTCTGCATCATTTCAGGATGATGATTGGATATATAATCACACAAAAATTAAATTTGTTTTTTTTTTTTTTTTTTTTTTTTTTTTTTTTCTGTTGTGGACAACTCTATGATGCCAGATTAAAACAACTAGAAGGACCCATGAAAATTTCACAGTTTTCCTATTTGTATTTTCTGATGAATCTTAATTCTTCAGTTAATGATTGAATAAGATCATGGTGAGTTCTATGACAATAATCCATAGAAATTCCCCTATCACATCATTAAATATTTGAGCTTAATAACTTTAACAAAATATTGCAATAGCAATCATTAATATCAATGCTGGTTGTTATTTTAAGAAGAGGTTACAAATGAAAAGATTTGAATTTGACAACTTTTTCCATTTCACTGAAACAGATGTTACACATTTCTTTTCTCCTTTTTTTTTTTTCATTCATTTTCTCGTTGAAACCAAGTAACATATCTAATGTGTTTTATTTTTCCATGCAATCAAAATGGAAGAGTTCATTATTTATGAAGTATTGGCAAGAGATGTTAAACACTTCTATTTTCCCTTTCTTTCTTTCATTTTATCACTGAAGCCAAGTAGTGTCTTTCCCACTCTTTCAAAACAGAATAGTCCATTATTTATGAGGTATTGACAGGGTGTAATTGTCATGTGAACTAACAAAGGAAGTGACAAGCACAATTATAGGATAGCTCAATTTCTAATATATGACATATTAGACTGCAATAAGGAATCAGTCATATCAAATTACTTTAATCAGTTTGTGGTTAGCAAATATAACTTGATTTTCTTGTTCTCTTGTTCTCATTAAGAATAAAAAAGAATTCCATTGGAATGAGAACAACATGCCTCTTTTATTCAAACAAGGAAGAATTATTTAATATTATTAGGATGTGATACATACGAAAAACAAGATAAAATGCACAGAAATGAAAAACTGGTCCAAATGAATTACTGTAAAGCAGTAACAAAAGATATACATACAAAAATTTAAAAAAGAAAAAAAATGTAATAAAATATTTTTCTGTTGAGTTATATGGAATTGTTTTTATTTTGTTTATTTTTTTTTTCTTTTTCAGGTATCCAATGGCTCTTGGCAACCTTGGGGACCTTGAAGAAATGTCCCGTTCACCTGGGCAACCACCTCCTTTGGCATTATTCCAAGAAGGTATTGATGCTGACAAGAAGTATTATGATAACCAACATGTCTATCCTTACACTTATATGGGAGCTTTTCTCTTTCGAAATGGTCAATATAAGAAGGCACTAAACTTCTGGTCAAATGCAAGTGCCGTTATGAAAGGGTGAGTAAATAAGTGGATTTTTAGATTTCTTGTTAGAAAACAGCTTAGTAAACTTACATTCAACAGATACAAATCCAAAAATTAGAAAAAAATTGTTGCAACAATTAGGGAGGGCCTAACTGCTTAGAAATCAAAATTTAGTAAGCTTAGTTCAAACAGGTTTCGAAGTAGATAAGAATGAATTTAGGAAGATTGTGTTGCATCAAACTTTCAAGTGAAGAAAGTGTGCCTGCCTTGACAATCAGTATTGGAAATGCTAACCTTTTACCTGGACATGAAACATCAACCTTTTAGTCATGATGAAGAAATATATAACAGCCTCAACCACATGGCAGATCCTTTCGTTCACTACCCAGTGATTTCAATTTGATTATTTACTAAGCTTAGTTTAGTCTGGTACCAAATAGGAGTGATTACGGGATAAGAAGATTGTATGCATCATTGATTCAAGTAGAGAGGGTGGGTCTGCCTTGGAAATAAGTATTGGAAATCCTTGCCTTTTACCTGGTACTGAAACATCAACCTCTAGCCCTGATGAAGAAATATATAACAGCATCAATCACAAGGCAGATCTCTTCATTCTCAACTTAATGATTTCAATTTGGTTATTTACTAAACTTAGTTTAGTCTGGTATGAAGTAGGTGTGTTCAAGTGGAGTGCATATAGCTGCCTTGAAAATAAATTTATAAATTCATTATTTTTTTGTAATTCTCTCTACTGATCTCCTTCTATCTGTTCTTATCTATTTATTTATTTATCTATCTATCATATTAAATAAATATCTGTAACATCCAAAACATTTATTATTTCATGAAATAAGTGCATATAAACCTATTGCAGCAATATGAAATTTGACATATACTGTGTTTCAAATGATAGAAATTAGAAAACTATCCCTGCAGATCAATCAGTTGTATATTCAACAACAAATTGAGATATAAGATAAATAAGCAGAAAAATGTCTCATTGAAGGAATTCCTAAAATAATACTTGGTTGTATACTGCATTTATTAGGCTGGAAGGAAAAGTAAGGAGACAAACTTTGCTTTGTGCTAGAAAGGATAGGATGTTATGGAGAGCTGTGATCATCCACATCCTAAAGGAACATGGTACATAAAAGATGGTAAATTAATATTTATAGACTTATCAAGTTGCTATAGTCTGTAGGGAATTTGGTATATCATTTTTTTGTAGTGATTCATCCAATGAGGTTTTCTAATGTAGACTCTCTTTGTTTACGTAGTTAATGTAAGTAGTTGTTGTTCTTGGTCTTTTCTTTTGTTATGATCTATGTCAAGATTCCCAACCTCCCCAGTTTGTTATTCTACCCTTATTAACTTGACTGGATCAGCCATTGATATTTTCTCCATTCTGCAATTTATTTTGTCCTTCCCTCTTCTCTAATGAGCAATCAGTTCTTAATTCTGCCCATTGGCAGAATACATCAACCACCCTTATTTTTGTAGGGTGAATAGGTCCCACTGACATGTTTTATTTTTAGTTTGAATGTTTTGTTATATTTCAGTTTTGTTTGTGGGTTCATCCCCTCTACCCTCATTTCATGGAATTAGATTTTTATCTATTATTATTATTATTATTATTATTATTATTATTATAAACCCTCCACCAGCACCACCAAAAAAGGGACGTTTGTGATATCATGGAATTTTTAGATGTGTTTTTTTTTTTGTTTGGTTTTTTTTTTTTTTTGTGGGGTCCCCTGTCAGTATGTGGTATTGTGGTTAGGTTAGTTATGTGCCTTGTGTGATACACACTTATGTGATCATATATCTTTTGATATATGACTGAGGCAGATATTTTCCTGCAGTAGGTTGCCATTTCTTTCTTGCATTAGACCAGTTGCCATCCAAGGCTATAGAACCCGGTCTGTCCTGCTATTTACCCATAGCTTGTGTGAGGGTGAGAAGTGGAGGATCCATACCTTTCCCAAGAGCATTAGCACGTAAGTGAATGTAATAGATTCAACTGGAATTCGAATTCGGGTTTCTGATTTCTCAATCCAAGCCACTATCCATTACTCCACTGTATGTTGAAATTGAATGATAATGAGTAAGTTCTTTTGGTGAAGGAGTAAATTGTAAAATGTATGAATGAGTCATGAATCGGATTAACTAGGTTTAGGGTAGTTAGTGTAGACCAGCCTCATCCCACTTCCCCTTCAGCCTTGTGCCACAATTGTAATTCAGTTTGCAATAAATCTACATTCTCTAACAGGAAAACCATTATATCATTTTGATTTCATCTTCTGACAAATAAACTCCGATATTTTGTTCCTGGGAATAATCAGAGAAAATCACTAGAACAGAAGATAAAATGCTTGGACAATTTCTTTATAGTCATGAACCAACCATTTGTTCATTTCTTTGTATGAAAGCAAAAGAAACTACATAAAAGATTTAAGAAAATATTCTCCATCTGTTGTATTTTATATTTTTATGTAAATAAAAAATTGCTTCCAAAATATGTAAACACACACACTATATTTCCCAACCTTAAGCACTCAGCCCAGTTTTGAATTGAAAAATTTAAAGGAAAATAAAATAAATATAAAATTCAGTATAAATAAAAAGTTAACTTTGACCAGGGAAAGTGAAGTTTCATTTTGGGAAAAGACTTGTTTTAGATACCATAAAATTGTATAATCAGAAACTGTTGAATTTGTAATTAGTATGTTGCATTCTGTAATAAAATTGAACAAATGCTTTTTGTTGTTACATTACTGTGATTGCCAAATATAATTTATTTATTTAAATTTTTTTCCATATCTTAGGTATAATTACAACAGGGAAGATGAAGAAATTTACAAAGAGTTTTTGGAGATTGATAATGATTTCATTCCACAAATTGTGAAAACAGTTGACAAAGACAAGAAAGGCAGCTTTTTACGGGACCCAGAATGCTATGCAGATCTGCTGAGATTTTATGATGGCATATGTGAATGGGAAGAGGGTAGTTCTACCCCGGTGCTCCATGTTGGCTGGGCCACACACCTTGTGTTCTCTTTGTCCAAGTTTGATCCGAGAGTCAGACAAAGCATAGATTTACAGATTGATGGGAAAGAGGAAGAGGAAGAAGAAGAAGAAGATGAAGAGGAGGAGGAAGAAGAAGAAGGAGAGGAGGAGGGTCAGGAGGCTGATGACGACGATGATGATAATGACATGAAGGAAAAGACTAAGGATAATTCTAGAAGTAGTGAAAATTCGGAGAAGCATGGAAATATGTCATTACCTGATTCTTCTGTAAGCAAACATGTTGCAAGGAAACTACGTCGGAAATCAGAACATGCACGCAAGCCTGAAAACCACAGTAGCAGCAACAACAACAACAATAATAATAATAATAATAATAATAATATTGAAGTTGATGGAAATAAGAAAAAAAAGTCCCGGGATTCTCACAAAACAGCAAAAGATAAGCCTGTTGATTCATCTAAATTAAATGGAAAGATAGGTGAGGATCAAATAAAATATGCAATTGAAGAGCTTGTATCGAAAGCAGGTGAAGAAGGACAAGCTAATGTCCCTAATTCAAACATAGCAGCATTGGCCCATGCCTGTGGAGAGTCCATCTTAAACCCAGATTATTTACTTGGAGGTGGGGAACCATTTACTTTGACTGCAGCTAATAGTAGTAGTGCTGACACCAGGGTGGACTATGATGAGTTTCTCAGCACCAAGTCAAATGGAACTCAATTTATTGGGATGACAGTTGATTCCTTGTTGAAGGCTGAAAGCCCAGCTGATATGATGATGTGTCGTAAGACACCAGATATTGCCTCCAACAATTTCACCTTTCCAACAGTATCGTTGAAACTGCGTAGCAAAAAGATGAAAGGTTTGAAAAAGATCCTGCAGTCTCCAAAATTGAATGCAAGTGCCATAAAGCTTCAGTTGACTGCACAGTCACAAGTGGAATTTCGACACAACAGGAGAACTACAGAATCATCTGACCAGCCATCAACAACAACCAGGAAACGTTTGCGGCGAGAGTAAACCTAATTCACTCTCGTTCAATGTCTCACAATTATATTACCAAGTCATTATACTGACTAACAAAACCAAACAAAGCTCTTTTTTTTTTATTTCTCCATTATTCGTTTATACAATAAAGTATGGTTTATGATGTTTCTATAATGTTACGTAAAACAAATTTTTTTTTTTTGTCAAAACCGTGGAAATCACTTTATGTAACATTGTAAAAACATTTTTTTTTTTAATATCATATTTTCGCATTAGTGTTTTACATAATATAGAAGACTCTTCACCCAGCAAAGAACATATATCATGTTTCATTATTAAACAAAAAAAAAAAAAAACTGTGTGTATGTATGTATGTATATATATATGTGTGTGTATGTGTGTGTGTATATATATATATATATATATATATATATATATATATATATATATATATATATATATATATATAAAATATTGTGTGCGTGCATGTAGACCATGTTACATACTTATTAACATATTTTTCATTCAGAATACAAGAGTTACTCTGGAATTTTTCTTTTTACATTTAAGAATTATGCTTTTAATTGGGTATAGATTTTGAATTTCTATAATTTTTATGCTGGACATAATATTCATTTTAAAAGTACACGATTAAAATCTTGGAATGAAAAAAAGGAAAAAAATGTGGTTTTCATTTAATTTTACACCAGGAAATATTGTTGATTATTTTGGGAGATCAATATTATTGATTTTTTTTTTCTAAGCACTTGACAAACATTGGTTTTATATATTAGAATTGAATCTCATAATTACTGTTGAAATAAAGCCATTGTACCTGGGCCTTACAATATCACAGAATTCCCTTGTTCAGATAACTATCTTCACATTTATGTTTCTTATCATTAAACCTGGTGTAAATGTTACAAAAATTAAAATTCTTTGTATCTGTGAGGAGGTGGATATTGGGAAAAAATGACTATTACTGGAGGCAATAAATACTTCAGAAAGACTTGAACATCTTACAAGCTGATATGTAGTGATTAAAAAAAAACAAAAAAAAACAAAAAAAAAAACACATAGACACACACACACACAAATAAGAACATCTCTATTTCAGAACTCCAGACAAAACTGGAAAAAAATAATGAAAAAAGTAAAGAAAAATCCTTAGAACTTCGCTGAAACACGGTGATGGGAATGCTAGACTGAGTCATTCCTCAAATAATGACAACATTTCACCTCAGAACTTAAAACAACAAACCTGCATTTTCCCTTTTTGTCAAAAATATTAGGGATTTGGATTTGTAGTTCTGTTGTAAAGAGCTGATAATCTGAATATGAGTTGCTTTTTATTCTTAATGTTGTGGCTGCTCTAAAATTTAGTGAACAAATATGCAACATTTACTAGATTAATATTCAAAATAAATCCAATGACAAATATGCAATATCAGGTACAATAGCTTACAAATGAGAGATTATAAAAATATTCACAAGATGATTTAAGCTTTTGTTTCAATGTATATGCAAATGGTCTCTATATATTTACACATTTTACTTATGCAAAAAGGTTAGACAACCAGAGTTTACTTTCTTAAATGCATTTTACTATTGTTTTGTGTTTGTGTTTGTGAAATTTACCAGAAGGTAGTGAGGAGAGAAAGTATTAAATTTCTTTTATTGTTTAAAAAAAAATCCAGAATTTTTAAATTTGAAAGTAAAAAAAAAAAAAAAAAAAAATATTCAAAGCAAGAGCCTTAATTTATTGAAAGCCCTTAAATTGTAAAAGGACCCCGGTGACATGAAGGTCAAACCTCTAACTTAAGGTTGATTTCTTTTTGGCAATTTTTATACTGTAGCTACTTTCGCAGTTTAGTGAATTTTTAGCACTTAGAGTAATAACCTCAGATAAAAGAACTAAACTTAATTTTGTAACACTGCAAGCATTCACATGCTAATATTTAGTCAAGTCATGCATTATGAATTTTAAATGAAAAATAACCTAGCTTTGTTTACATTGCAAAAAAAGCACTTGAGAATAGTAGCTGTAGTGTAAAAATTAGCAAATAGAAACCAACCTCAAGGGATATATATGTAGGTTTTGCTTCTTTGTATTATATGAAGTCATACTTCTGCTTGTTTTGTTGACTTGTCTATTTTAAAATTTAATTCTATAAGTAAATTGATATGTAATTTACAAACACATACCCACAAATATCTTTTAATATATATATATATATATATATATATATATATATATATATATATTTTTTTTTTTTTTTTTTTTTTTTTATCCGCATTTTTGTTTTGTTATTTTTTTGTTTGGGTTTTTTTTTTTTTTTTTTTTTTGTTCCTCATCAATTTTCTTTTAACTGTTGTACCTGAAAATTATTACTGGAATATATATATGAAGTTGCCACATATAATATTATAATGACATGAAAAAACAATGGAGTTACCATTGTCAATTTGAAAAGAATCTAATGCATTATTATTTGAAATAGGACTTGAGGAGTATTAAACTTCTTTCTTTCTTTTTTTTTTCCCCTCAGGACCTTTCAGGTACAATAGTTTAAGCTAAAAAATTCATTTGAAAATCATTTTACTGTTTTTGCTGATGTTTAACATGCACAATTGTTTACATTGAAGCTTCTTTGAAAAAGGCGTTCAACCTATGTAAAGTGTTTTACGTCAATGCTTCACTGTTATTTCATAAAAATGACGCCTCACTTGTATATGCAAATACTGTTGAAAATATATTGCAAAATGTTAATGTTGTGGTTGACAATGGCATAAAGAAATAAACTTGCCAAAATATGGCCTTGTTCCACTTAAAATTTGTTTTCTTATTTTTGCAAATGAAGCATTCACAATCAATTACAATTAGTTTTATATAGAAATGTGGTCAAAAAAAATTAGCAACTTTGGTTCTGGTTCACTATATTTGCTACAAGAAACCAAAGGATAGAAGTGCAAAATATGTTTCTACTTTTCTGCAAAGTTTCCATATAAAAATGTAAGTAAAAGAGGAATAAACATGAGAATAATTACATTTTACCAAACAATTTAATATTTTTTTCATAGTTGCTTTCATCCTTTCTAGATGTAGATAATGTTATGAGGATGATGGCAATAAACATGGAAATATTTAAAAAAAAAAAATCAAGGCGACTTTTTAACCAAATATTGATTAGCTACAAGGATGTTTTTCACAGTTGCTTTCATCTTTTTTAGAATGTAGATATGTTATGAAGACTATGCAGGGGGGGGGACACTTCTGTTGGTTTTTTGTTTTTTTTTAGCAAATACACCTAAAATTAGATATGAAAAGTAAATAAAATAGTTTTTAATTTTAATTTTAAAATGTTTATATTTGGGTGCTGGTAATTTGGCCAAACCTGTAAAGAAAATGATGCCAGTATGTTTTAAAAAAAATGTCTCCAAATAGGACTTGGCAGTGGGTATGGACCCCACTTAAACATGGTGATCAATTTCTTCTGGTCATTAAGTATGCCATGAGTTACCCCTTTTAGTTTTTGTGAGCACCTACTTGATTCCAAAGTTTTTTCACACCTATGTGAGAATTCCAAGACTTTAGTGTCAGTTCTTTCATTTTGATTTTTCATGTCTGTGAAATGGTAGGGAAAAGAAAGTTCAAAAGATATAATGGGTGTGTTCGGAGATAGAATGTCATAAAGTCAAAGACTTCTTAAAAAAAATAATTTTATTATTGAAACAGATTTTTCAGTCTTGTAGAGTCAACTTCTTTCAGACTAAAAGCTGAAAAACCAAAGAAAATTTGACTTCAACATGTATGTAAGTATCTGTCTATATCTCTGAGATGAGGTATTATTTACATTATTTGAACTTCATTGCCATATTCACAACATTTCGGCTGTTGTAAGCTCCGGCCTTCTTCAGGTGATTAAAATTTCAAACTGAACCCCCTTTATTTTGTCCACCAGAGTAGATTGTTCTAGTTCCACATGCCATGCCTCTTCTGGATGTCTCAGTTATTTCCCTTTAACGCAACTCACAAAGTTTTGGTTCACAGCAGTGGCCTGGTACTGAACTCACAACTCTTTGGGTCTAGTCTTTATCTACTGGGCCATGTGTCCTTGAGGATATCTGTGTATGAATTTCTGGAGCTTATAAACCTAATGTCTCAGCAATCCTTTTTTTTACCAGTGCTCATATTGCAATTTTTTGTTCTTATTATTCATTTTTTACCAGAGCTTACATTGCAATTTTTGTTGTTATTCATTGCTTTTCTCTAGCACTCCTTATTACTGGTTCCCATATTGTATTCATTTCTATGCTTGGCCGGATTAGATTCCTCAAGTTTTCATATTTTCTTTGTCTATTTCAAACTCATCCTACAGGGAGCAGTGATCCCCCTTTTCCCTCTATATATGGTTAGTTGCACCTGATTTTTCTATTTCCCCTTGTGTTACTGCTTTATGATGTTTTTGCCATCTAACCTTAAGGGGGCAGCCTGTTTCCCTTTGTATTTCTTACTACAGCTGCAGAGGATGGCATACATACAATCCTTAGTCATATTCTCTATGGCATGGGATCTGACTTGGAAGAGGTCTGTGAAGTGTTGAACCACTTTTGAAGATTGTCCTGATGTTATATGGACCACAGATCCTTTGTATTTTCTCTGATAATCCCTTTCACATAGGGTAAGCAGATTAAAGCTGTTTTCTGAGTGCTGTTATCCTCTTGTACCCTCCTATCTCAGTTTGTTGGAGATGCTGTCATGTACCAAGGGTAGATGTTATGTTGTAGGGTACTACTTATACTATTTCTTGTTCATATGTTTCTGGGTCGCCACTTATGACTTTTGCTCAATGTTGTAAGTAGTGGATGATCCCTTTCTTTACATTGTATGGATAGTGTGAGTTGAAGTTGAGGTATTTTCCCATGAATGTTGGCTTGCGGTATACAGATGTCTTGAACCCCTGCTCTGTTCAAGATATTAGTACATCCAGGAAGGTGAGTTTGTTGTTGCTTTCTCGCTCTATTGTGAATTG